GGCCTCCCTGCAGCGCCTGCTGCAGAGCTCGCAGGAGGTGCGGCACCGGCAACCGGTGCTGCTGCGGCAGCTGCAGGCAAAGGGAATGTGGGAAACACGCTCACTACATTGAATTTCAGGCGGGGCAAATTCGCTGCAGCAGAGTATTTATGACAGCGCTGTCAGTTACAGGGGGGATTTCTCCCCCTGTGGCTCGTTTTCCCCTTTACAAACACTTGGGTTTATTTCGTGTTCCTTATACTTATTCAGGATTTTTTTTCCAAAAAATAATTCGCATAGTCAATGAGTTCTTGGAATGCAACCCACCCCCAAACGTGCCCCCTCCTTTCTCACGGCGCAGGCGATATGCTCCCTCAGGGGTCTTCCTGGTGGGCATCGGAGGGAGGCTCAAGGTCTTTGGCCCCGTGTCCTTCTGGTGGCTTGTTTACACTTCCGTAGTTATCTTAGCTAACTACACCGCCTTTTGTATTGCAGTGCTTCGGTACTTGAACTGCTGTTTTCGTCTGATTTCCTATCCAACGCTATCCCTTTTCCAAAGGCATCCACACTGTGAATTAATCTCATGAAACAAGGTCTTAAACAAGGCAGAAATAAGGAACTTGCTTAGGCACACAGCAAAATCAGTCCTAATCTCTTCCACCAAATGACCCCTAGCAATCCATCCCACCAACTGGCGTTTGCTGTTGATTTCCATTTTTGCACCAGTACATGTGCTATTTTCCGCATATTAGTAGCGATTTCTCATACTGCTTCTCCATTATCATCCATTTTTAAACAACAATCAGATCTGTTAAGTTTTCCACCCCCCCCCTCTTCTACTGCTAGCAGATAGTCTAGAGCGAGCTGATTTTGGTAGACTGCTGCCCCTGTCTGAGTTTGTTGGTGCGCTAACAGTTCTAGTCCTGAAGCTGTTTTGTTAGTGATCAGCTCAACTACCGCTTGTAGTCTTATAATTCGATTCAGCATATAGATGGGGGCTCTATATCTCCAGCTACTGTCTTGGGCCCACGTGGCCAGTACGTAAGTCCTGGTTGAATTATTCCTAAGGTGCAGGTCCTTCTTTGGTCAGGTGGTAATTCTGGGAGTTCCCGGTTTCTGCATATTTAGAACAACTCACCTGGTGCTTGCCAAAACTCTTCCGTTGTTTCTTCTACATTTTTTTTAATATTGCGATATGTCTTTCATTCCTGAGAATGGATCTATACCTTCCTTCTCACATCTAAAAAGACTACTGTTTGTTACCCAGGTACAATTTTTGGTCTTATTTTGAAACGCTAGAGGTGACTGGTTTTTCGAGGAAAGCAAGTTCAGGCAAAATTGTGAATCTATCTTTAAGATATTTCTTTTCACATGGGGTCTCCCCCATTGGATCTGTAAAGTTCTCTCCCTCCTGGTTCAAACAGACTTTTCTAATTACCGGGGAACTTAACACCTACTTGTCAGGCCTCTTTTTAGTTTGTTTGTTTGTTTGTTGTTTTCTCTCGTGGCGAGGGTATAATTCCATTCCAGGATTTC